AATTTAAAATTATTGGCACAACATTTAATAACAAAGTAACTGTTGGGTTGTCAATTAAAAATAATTTATGTAATTTTACAGACCTGACTGCCTTTTTTTTTTTTATTTGATTATTTTTATTTCTATATTCCATTACTTATTGAGTTTGCTAGATTGGGGTATTTTATTTTTTTAGTATTTTTTGTTTTTTATTTTTTGCAGTGACAACGGATAGACAGCCCTTTTCTGAGAGTGAAGCCTCTGCTCCAAAAATAGCTTTTATCACTCATTTTCCGGGTGAGGTATATTGCATGGAAAAAAAAAAAGTGAACCGAACAGCTGCAGCCCTGTAAACTTTTTCACAGCACACTGGACTTCCCTGTCACAGGTCCACATTTTTTTTCTACCACGTTGGAAACCAGCTGGGCTTCATCCAGTCATGTGGTGTCTTTTTTAGATTAGTCTCTGTGTCTCTACATCTCAAATAAATTCACTTTACCCGGATTTACGCATGGGGGAAAAAAAGTCATATTGTCTTTTTTGTTTGTTTGTTTGCTTTAGTTTCTTTATTTGCTGTAATAACCGAACCCAAACGTGCACCCAAGACGTTACGAGTGTCATGCCCCACTGACGCTCGTGTAGGTGTACAGGAAAAAAAAAAAAAAAAAAAGGAAATCATCCAATCGTTGCTGTTCCACCGCTGCGCTCGGTCGCACGCGCACGCGCCAGCTGGGAGTGCGCGCCCACGCGGACCCGATGGCAGGACAGGTCATGAGCTGAGCCGATGAGATCATGGAGCCCGCACCGAGGTCGGACGGGGAACGGCCGGGACCTCACGGTGATGATGGAGAAGTGCCTGTCCGGTAAGCGAGAGCCGGGTGAGTGCGCACCTGGACTCTGGTTGGGCATCATGTGGCACCATTATTCCAACAAATGAAAACTGTTTTGCTTTCAGTTTGTGCGGCAGATTAATTATTATGTAAGGCACCAGCTCGAACTCATGTAGCGTGTGCATATGAGCAAGAAACTAATCCTTCATGCCGTGGTCGTAGTAGAATTATTCGGGCGGTCTGTGTCCAGGCTGCGTAAGTCACATGCACAGCGACCGTTTTACTCGTGCCACTGTCGGAAAATAATGGTGCGCTCTGCTCGGTGTGTGTGTGCATTAGGTGCTGAGCTTCATTAGGAAAAAAAAAAAAAAAGCCCCCCCTCGTTCGGATGATACATTGTGATGCAAATTGAGGAGTTGTGCTGTTGCAGTTTGGGTGGTGACTCGACTTCTCTCTTCGCAGCAACAGCTGGCTGCCAACTCAAGTAAGTGCAGCCGCTTGTGGATCGATTTGAAGTAAGGCGTTTCCCACTTGGCATTTTATTTCAACGTTTACATCAGTCCTTTCTGTCTCGGTCAGTTTTTTTTGTTGTTGTTGGTCGCTCTGTCTGTCCCGTGGTTTGACCTGGGAGTGAACAGCTGCGCAAACTTGGCGCATGGCAACTGAAGGACCAGTGACTTATAATACCTGCATTTTAATGCTTAATAATATTCGAAGGCAAGCTTTAATCGTACCAAGCTGACATGAGTTCGGTTCCATTGTTTTCAAATGTTCAGACGCTGTTGTCTTTGTTGCTTTGTTCTAAGTAGCACTTGACTTCCACACCGTGTCACTGATGTAGTTTATCTGAATTATACGCAGAATTGGTGGTTCCATTGCTGGCACACCAGGCTCACTTCATTGTCTCAAACAATAATGGATAAAGGATTGACAGCTATGTTATGACTGACAAGCAGACTTAACCAATCTCTCAGTTGCATCCTGTGCAGTGACTCCCAGCACCCAATCCTCTTGGATTAGAGGAGGGATTATGATTTGGATTTGCCTCTGCTTTGCAGACAGTCTCCAATATCTGGTGCACCATGGACTGGGTTGCACTTACTTTGATTCCCTGAGGATGCTTTTTGATACTTTTTATATTATTGATGTATGTGAGCTTTCTCATATCAAAGACAACAGATTACCTGCGATATAGATGAGTATGATATAGACGTATAGTATTTTATATGTTGATTTTATCCTTAACATTCTAATCCAAGTAGGCTTTAGCCTAATTTCCAATTGACTATTTTTGTCCTCTATATTTAGTTGAAGCCTCAGGTAATGGTATATCTACAGCCTGGCAAAGTTTGACAGTGAATTTGCAAGTGCCCCTGAGGGATGGTAGATAATAAAGACTGGTCTTCCAATTTCCTTAGCAGTCTGTTAAAGCCACAGCAAGTTGCACAGTTTTGCTTTTCCGTCAGATCCATGCACAGCTAGATGTAGGCAGTGCTGTCCGTGGTGCTGAAATGGCCACACTGCTCCATCGCCTTCTTCATTTCATTCACCATCCACTATTTTAAATGAGGGCGTAAGAGTAGCCGGTACTACGCTGCACTACTAATCTACATTCTGATGGTTAGCGACATTGTTTCTGTGTCCTCCCATCACTCTCACGACCCCTAATTAGGAAGAGAGGGGATTACCAGGCACTGTAGTAATTGAAGTTATCCACTAGATCTGCTGTTACCGACCCGGCTCCCGAGCACCCACAGTATTGCTTATTTTCCAGGAATAGCAGGAATGTGGGTTCCCAAGAACAGGGGTGGGAACAATGATACTGGATCAAAATCTAGCTGTGATGTACTCAATATCTGGCTGTGACTGGTTCTCTGGATTATTCATTGCAGTAATGTATAGTGTTTTTAATGTGTGCAGTGAAGCACATAGGACTGAACAGAAAGTCTGATTGAGAGCAATGTGTGATTTGTAGAATTGGTTGATTATTTTTATTGTTATTGAAATAGTTTGTGACTGACATCATTAATAATAATTTTATTGTTTTCTTCTTGCACAGCTCCTTTTTTTTTTAAATGCAAATTTTTTATATGTGGGAAGTTTGAATAATTTGTCAGATAAGAAAGGATTTGTAGGAAAACATGTTTATGTTGTTTTAAGTAAACACTAGCAGCAGTGATTTTGGCTGGATTTTATTTTTTTTTACACCTATTTAATTTCATTTTTAGTTGTTTCTATTTTTGTGATATGATTCGTCTTAATGTTTGTCTGGCTTTTACTCGTCCAGAATCCATGATGTCCTGCACTGTAGCTGAAACCACAAGACCTCTGGCTCGTGAGTTTGGGAGCCCTGCAGCCGACACTCACTTTCTTCTAATAGGACTGAATAAGACTCAGCCTCAAGCCCTGAACAGTCAGGGATGGACAGGTGAAAACTGAGAGGCCGAGAGGTGGCCTTTTATTTATTCTGTCATTCGTTCTGGATCTATGAAGAGACATGAAAATATTCTCAACTCTGACAATTTCTTGTGAGGTGTCATACTTTGCCATATAAAAATGCCTTTAAACATCCGAGCCAAGCCCTCGCAGAGCAAGCTGTCTGCTGCTGCAAAGAGTAGTGGGCACACCGATGGCACTACATCTCATTCTCGCTTCTCAAGGTCCCCTAAACACGGTAAAGGGAAACAGGCTGTAAGCTCAACACCGGGGTCTCGCTCCGGGCTAGAACCGGGCTCTGTGTCGGGGGGTCCGCCTCCACCAGCGTCTAAATTGACTGTGGGTCAGGGGTCGGTGTCCAGGCCGGGTGCTAAAATCAAAGCTGGCGCGGCAGCAGACAAAGGCTCAACTCGTGGTTCGGCGACGGCTCCAGGAGGTAAAACCCTTTCTATGGAGAACATCCAGTCTTTGAGTGCTGCCTACGCCACGTCCGGCACCATGTATCCCAGCGAGCGAGAGTCCTTGGAGCCCTCCGGTGGTTACCCCAAAGGCACCATGACGCTGGGCAGAAGCACCAGCCGCTCCTCCTACACTGGCCGAACGACGGCCATGGGAAGCAGCCCCAACATCACCTCCTCTGGGATGCATCCCTCGTCAGACCCCTGTGGAGATCAAACGTTACTTTCTGTGGGAGCCTCCAGTTTGCGGCGGCAATCTGGAAGACACACGCAGGTCCAGGATTCGAGCGGACGGGGAGAGGTTTACACATTTGACCTCCAGTCTCAGCTGAGGGATCTGCAGAGAGAGAACGACAACCTGCGGAGAGAGCTGGATGGAGGAGGGAGGGATGGACGGACAGGCCCCAGCGTCAACAATGTCAACTTTTGGAGCCCAGATGCTAAGAGAGAAAAGGGGATGAGGCGGGACGAGGGGGTGAGGACCTCAGCTGTGAAGGACCAGTACAGGACGACCCAGGAGGACTTACAGGTGAGAAAACCGATGAGTTTATTTCAAAAATATCACATTTCCTTTAGGCAGTGAACAAACCACGAGCAATCTTACTCACTAAAGCGCGGCAGTCGACGCCCTCAGTTACAGTGAGTCATTTCAACACCTGTAGGTCTTTATTAGAGTCGATGTTGCATATTTGAAATGACGAAAATCTCATTTTAAGAAGAAACTCTGTGATTCGTCCGCTCGCACATCACATTCGGCGTGCTTTTTGTGCTGACCCGCCCGTCTCCTTTTGCACGTCATACCTCTCAAATAAATCCTTTTGTTCCTTTCTTCAAGGTTGCATAGAAAGACTTCTTTGCAGTTCATTTGTAAAGATGTTTGCCAGGCTCCACGTGTTTCCATGGGAACGTGCACTTGTGGCATCCACTCAAAGTGTTTGCCAGATTCTAAAAAAACTCACAGCTACTTCGTCAGGGATAGTGAACCGGTCTGTCCTGTGCCACCTCTCTCCCTGGAGTCTGGCCCACTCACTCTGAGGCATTATCCATCTGCCTGCCTCACTGCATAGCTACTCTACACTATCTACTCCTTCTTTGGTTCCTTCTGTTTTTTTTTCCTTCCCTATATTGTCTTCCCTCTGTTTCTCCATTTGTTTGTGGATCATTTTGATTTCCTTGTGTATCTGCATTTGTCTGGTGGAAAAATAAAAGTGTGTCCCTGGAGCTTTTATTTTGATGAAATCTTTTACACTGTACAGTAGCAAATGTAGTTTCTGTTCAAATCTCTGCGCTGCTATTTCACGCTCAGCATGCAAAAAAAAAAAAAACAACTTTAATCATGTCTGCACGCTCCCATTGTAACCAAGGAGCCACCTCTGCATTTGTATTTATAGCTTTTTTTTCATCTCACATTGTCACACAGTGTGAGGACACTGTGACACACGCACCCACACGCATGCATACACGCATCCCTCGCATTTTATAACCAAGTTATGCTGCATCCACCTGCCATCGCACCAAGCCGCCTGTTGCAGGAATATAAAGAAAATGCTGATCAACAGTTTTTTTTCCCTCTGAACCTTGCAGAACTCAATCGTCCTTGACCGCTCCCTGGAATTTTAATTTATACAACCTGGCATGTTCCTATAGCGAGCTCACAAAATCATTGCTCCTTCTTTAAGTATATCATTCAGTTCTGTGGTTGCACATTATCACGGACGTCAGTTTGCTTTATGTTAGTTTATGGATTACTTCATTATAAAACACTACATAACCCTCTTTCTTTCTTTGCATTTCTTACAAACACACCTCGTTCAGCTTCAGTTGATTTCAGTTTTGTTATCGATCACTCATCAGATTGCTACCCTTTTTGTCTCTCAACCGTAACCTTTTCTCACAGTGTTTACACCCCCAGCATATTAAATCAGAAAAAAAAGGACAGTATTTTGTTTTTGGAAAACTATACCTCATGAAGAGGATGATAGTCTTATCTCCTGTCACCCCTATCACCTCGATCCCCCATCCCTCCTTTTTAGATGGTCCCTGTCCTCTGCTTCTTTTTTCTTGAATTTCCTCCATTATTTGCTCTTTGCGACACTTTTAGAGGAGTTCAGTCTGACGCGAGAACTTTGCAATTAGCATAAGGAATGTCACCTTTTCTCTCAACCGCAGTGGCCAGACTCGTCCCCTAACCATCTGTTTGTTGTGTGCTCATTGTGTGTATGTGGACACTCGTACATATGTATTTGTGCGTACAGTCTCGGCTGTGTGCACGCGCGTGTTTGTGCGGAGGATTGTCCTCCCACTCCGACTTGATATTCAGCGCTGCTTGTTGCATTGATTATCTGTGTTCATCCTCGCCTCCCCTCCTACGTCTCAACTCTGTGTCCTTGGCGCTCTCCACCTTCTGGACTCGAGCAGAGGAGTTAGAATATTTGAGGAAAAATTAGTAATAGCTTCACACGGATGAAAAAAAAAAATTGCAATTTAACTTCCGTTTTTTTTTTGTGTTTGTTTGTTTGCGTCAATGAATCGTTGATATTCTGTGTTTTGTAAGGTGTTGCGTGTGTTTGTGTCTATTTTTTCCCCTCTCTTGTGTTTGATTTCCTTTCCTTTCCTTACACAGTCAGTCATCAAGAATGCTATGTGTCCACGGTTTCAAGCACAGGAAGGATTTCCATTTAGCCGAGAATGCAAATTGCCAACATATTGTGTTCTGCATTACTTTGCGCTGCAACATTCCACATTAGCAGAAATGTCAAGTGAAATCTGTTATTCACAACAACACGCTGGGAGGGGGGTGTGTGGGGCATTTGTGACATTTAGTAATCAATTGTTCAAGTGGAAAATACATTTACTGATCAGTTAGTCACTGCATCAGGAAACCTCTTCAGTCTTGCTGATGCACTGATTGGTGCTTCTTCGGTGCAAACTTTATTGCAAAACCCACAGAAGTCATTTTGATTTGAGCTGAAGTCTTTAAAACGCCTCACCATGCTGCATACAAGTGAACATATTTATTGTTTTATAATTGATTGATTCATTTTTGAGTGTCACAACTGCCCCCCACCCTCCCCTCATAGGCCCTTCCTGCATTTTGGCTGCTGGCTGTTGTCACAGTCCCTGATGTTTCAAACTTCCTACAAACTCTTTCTAAAATGCTCTGATGCTTCTTTTTTACCTTTAAGATTTTGTAGCAGATTTTGTAATAATAA